TATATATATATATATATACATATACACATGCAAATATATCTATATACATTATATAGTACATTATTAAAAAGAACAATGTGGGTGGAAAGAGGATAACGTTAGAGCAACGATAGTATTTAAACAAAAAAGGTTGAAAGAATAGATCGAAACTGTTTTTCAGAATAAGAGAATCACAAAACAATTAATTATCGAAAATATAACGACGACAATGAATATGCTTTATGATACAACGAATTATGTAAATGATGAATTTCTTAGGTTTCGATAATGTTAATTAAATCGATTCTTGCATTTTTTAAAACATCGATAATCTCAAATCGACGAAGCGATATAATTTTTTTGTCGATATTTTTCTTGTTTTTCAGAAAAAATATATGTAAATCATTGATCGTTTACTTAATGAAGTAATGAAATATGGCGGGAGTTCTCATATTTTGTAAAACAGATTGACTGGTAGTAGGGGAAATCGAACGACTATTGCAATGTTGAGCGATCGTGATCGAGGATGAAAGAGAACTATGCGAGCGACACGTTTCTCCGTATATATTTTGACATATAAAAGTCTATATCGTGCGTTTCTTCGGTCAATACCTAATCAGCCATTATATCGACGAAATATCGGATCTGATCATTTTTCATAGCATAACCTCACAAGAAATAATCCAAAAAGATTTCAAGTCACATACGATTTTTTAAATAATTCAACTTACTGCCAAGTCATAATATTTAGATACATGAACGCAATTTCCTGATTTTTGCTACTTTATTGCACATAATTAGATGACTCTTGATACAAATTCCAAGAATAAATGTGACGATATTTCGATCCTACATTAAATCATATAGGTTCATAAACAACTAGAATATGATAACAAACGGCTGGAAATTTCAGGAGACCGACTTCTTTCTTCGTGATTACTAATCGTCTTTCTTTTTCTTTTTTCATATTCCCTTCCCGTACTCAATGTGCATATTCCGGAACCGACGAAGATCTGTGTAGAAATTTGTTGTTTGCAAAAGAAAGTAAAGAAGGATACGTGAGGATTACTTAACGCGAATTATTATAGAACTACTATCATGACGAGCGTAAATGTTAAGCATTACGTAACACTACGGTACTTTTGCGCATCCCTTTCTCGTCCAAAATTGCGTTTTTACTCTCCGATTACATCGTAGAGGAGGATCATTTATTACATAATTGCAGATTATTATGGCTATATGTATATATTTATATATATATATATATATATACATATATATACATATGTATATAAATATATATATATTATATATTAGAAATTGAAATACTCGTAATAAAGAACACGCCGACGCTTCCTGTGACCTTGGATTGTTTTAATTTTTCTAAAATATTTATTTCCTTTTTCTAACACATTACACCATCCTTTTATACCAATTTCTTTAGAAAATATAATTACTGGGAAATAAAAAAATATGAGCGAGCGCATTAGATCTTGCGATATTTAAACATTAAAAAATAATTTATAAGTATTTTAGTCCAATAATTGAAAACAGAGAGAAAATTTCGATTCTTATAAAAACTCATATGTTAATAAATAGGTCCATCGTCTAAATTATCGTCTTCATCATCGTAACCCTCTCCGTTATCAAAATAATTGTTTACGTAATCGGTTCCCTCGTCCATTTCCTCGTCCATTTCTTCTTCTTCATCTTCCACATGTTCTTCATCTTTCTCTTCTGTTTCTTCTTCCTCCTTTCCCTCTTCTTCTGCATCAATTTGTTGCAAACTCTCCTTCTTCTCTAATTCTTGCAATTTTAATTCTATGTCAACATTCTGTCGTTTCTTCTGTACATCTTCACACTTTTGTCCTTTACGTTTTCGCATTTGAGGCTTTAATTCTATTGGCATTCGGGTCCAATCGTATCTAATCTCGTAACTACTTTTATCAGTAATCAAATCTTGGTACCGATCTGAATACCGCTCGATATCTTTTTTAATTACAAAAGGCAAAACATTGTTAGGTGACTCTTTCATATATTCTGCATATTCTCTCTTTAACTCCAATAAATAGCTCATTTCTGTAGTAATATGCAAAGGTAATGGTTTGTACTCTAAAGGAGGATATTTTGGTGGAGGTTGTAAGACTGGTGGCGGTAGTGCCTCTCCTTTAGCAAAGCCCAGTTGTTCTGTGCCAAATGACATGGAAGGTTTGCTTCTTCCTCTACCACGTCCTGCCATTCTGATAATATACTTTAACCACTAATAATAACAATTAATAAAATATAAAATCAAACCTAATATTTGTTTAAAATCTACTGGTAATCACAAATATGTTCTCAGTAACTTTGGTTATTCTTCTACTCTGATACAAGCAAAAGAAGTACAGTCTTCTTGGTACTTCAAACAGTATTATAATTTATCTCCAACCCTTTGAATCATTTGCTGTTTTTCTTCGTCTCTAATGAGTTCCTCCTGTTTAGCTGCAAACGCTTCTTTATCATAAATTACTTTAATAACTAATGAGCATGAAGGGCATGTGGCTACTTCCACTCCCACAGCTAATTCCGCTTTTGATATTTGAAACTGATCCCCACAAGGACATGGATAACAATATATTTCCTCGTCTTCGTAGTATTCAAAGTCTTCGATTTCTACTTCATCGTGATACAGAATCATAATTTCAATAATACGTAGCAATCAAACTTTTGTGTAAACTTAAACTGAGGTTAAAAATATACTGTCAACCGATAACCATAACGATAACTATCAGAATGACGTAGATAGGTAACTTGGTAGGACAAAAAGCTTCTATAATCTTTCCTTCCTTTTTTCATAGGAGGGTAATTTTACGAAATGTTTGATTAAAAAATGCCTTTTCCTAATATAAGAGACTAAAAAGCATTTAATTAGAAAAGAAAAATATCGTCTTTTGTTCTACATATAGTGTTTTCTATCATATTTTTTTTAACCTTTTTATGTCATACTATATTTTCATGCAATTTCTAATATATTCTAAATTTTTATATAAATATAAAATTATATAAGATAATATTTATATATTTATCTACTCATGTAATAATTATAAACAAATGTGTAAAATATCAGTATATAGTCTAGACAACGTTGTGTTCAGAATATTATTTAAAAAAATATGTATTGAATATTATTTAGCATTTTTATAATATAATTAAAATATGGCCATTCTTTTAAAATTCATACAATAATAAATTGCCGAACAATTAATATTCATAAATGAAATTTTGAAATGTATCTTTATTATCGTAAAAATAGATTTTTCATGATGTTAACAATATTCCGTGAATTTGTCATATACTTTATTAAACTCAGCTGTTTTCTATCAGGTGATTTTGACATTCTTATCTTCTTTCAGATTATATGAAATCATCTGTTACAACATCATTCACATCATATATCTGACATGGAAGAACGTACACATAACTCATGCGCCAGTGTAACTATTGGTATAAACGGCTTCGATAGAGCCTTTTAATAACTTTTTCATTTAATTCACATAATAGACATATCAATGCATTTTTCTTGATACATAAGAACGTAAAGGTAGGTTACTTGGCCTATATAAATGAAACAAAATGAGCGAACACCTTATTATGTTATAGTATTTGAGATTCCATCAAAATGTTTACCAAACGTCAGAAAAAGACATTTTTCATAAAAAGTAATCAAACAATAAACCTACCGCTGCTTTGTTAATATTTTCAAATATTGTTTTATCTTATGTAAATAAATTAATTCTTTAAACATTGAACAACTTGTACGAACTGAAAACACTGTAAAACTATTGTTCCTATATGGTTATTGAAAATTTTGTTTTCAAGTCGTTTTCTTTTACAGCATCCATTAATAAAGCATTAATATAATTAATTCTTCCTTGTAGTTCCATATTTTATTTGCCATACATTTGTATCTTGATATTTATAAATAAATAGTAAAAATTATGAGGTTATGAGAATAATAATATACCTAATATATATGTATAAATTATATATTAAGTAAAATTTTATAAGATGTGTATGCCAAAATATTTTTATATAATCAAATAATAATGTTTATAATACAGATGTCAGCTGAAGCATATGATACTGAAATGGATTACTCCGACTCAGATTGCGGAGATCCAGGTTATGAAGATTATTATAATGTGCAACCATGGGATGGTGAAGGTGACAATGACATAGATAATGATCAAAGCAGAAGAGATCCTGAATATGCTGTATATGACTGTTTAAGAATCGAAGAAGTGGAGAGACTTTTAAATGAAGATGTAGAATTATTAAGTAATAGTCTTCATATAACACCATCCTTAGCCAAAGTTTTATTACATGCACATAATTGGACATTACAAGATATCATTGCGAAGTACCGTACTAATGCTTCCAGTTTATTGATTAATTCAAAAATAAAACCATTACCACCATTGGATTCACTGTCAGGATTAAAAGGTCAAAGAGGTGGATTATGTTCAGTTTGTGTCACAATTTATTCAGCTGAAAAGTTTTCTACATTAACATGTGGACATTCATTTTGTAAAGACTGTTGGTGCATGCATTTTGAAATACAAATAACCCAAGGTATTTCTACAGGTGAGTTTATCAAAGTTTATCAATCACAGATCACATCATTTAAATAATTGAATTAAGCTCAGTCAAATTAATTTAAATTAGGAATAAGCTGCATGGCACAAGATTGCAATGTCTTAGCTCCAGAAGATTTTGTTTTATCTCTACTCACCAAGCCTAATATGAGGGAAAGGTATCAACGGTTTGCTTTTTGTGATTATGTAAAGTCTCATCCACAATTAAGGTTTTGTCCTGGACCCAATTGTCAAATGATCATGCGTTCAAAAGAGCAAAGAGCAAAAAGAGTTATGTGTTCATCGTGTAAAACTGTGTTTTGGTATATATTTATAATTTTTAAATATTTTTATAATTTTAATATAAATTTAATCATATGTAATAATTTCAGCTTCCGATGTGGTATTGATTACCATGCACCAACTGATTGTAATACTATGAAGAATTGGCTAACAAAATGTGCAGATGATTCAGAAACAGCTAATTATATTAGTGTTCACACCAAAGATGTTAGTACTCCTTTATGCTTTTTTACATTAATACATATATATTATTATTTTGTAAAAGATAATCTTTGATTTATAGTGTCCAAAATGCCATATTTGCATAGAAAAAAATGGTGGCTGCAATCATATGCAATGTTATAACTGTAAGTATGATTTTTGTTGGATATGCCTTGGAGATTGGAAAGCACATGGAAGTGAATATTACGTATGTTCGCGTTATAAAGAAAATCCGAACATTTCTCACGAGAGTATCTTTGCACAAGCAAGAGAAGCTCTTAAAAAATATCTTCATTATTATGAGAGGGTAAATGATCTTCAAAAGTTAATTTTATATATGCGGTTTGCTTGGTTGATATAGCGAAGTCATAATTTATTGTATCTAACAACCGCCTCGATTGATCCCTAAATGACGATCTTAATGTCATTTATATTCAATTTACACGTATAACTACAACTATTTAACGCCAAATAGTAAAATAAAGAGAATTGTTTACTAACTTTCAATTTTATCTAGATTTAAATTTTGCTTTCGAACATGTAACAAAAATCTAACCCCTTGTCAATAATATCCATCTCATTTCAAGTCGACATAATATATTATTATATACTTAAATTCTTTATCTTTCTAAATATCTGAATTTTCTATATCGAAGGTTGCAATATTTGTAGTTTTGCGATCGATTGAATTTTAGACTTGACTATATCATCGAAATCAACTATAACTCACGTCGTCAACTTTTTCATACAACTTTTTAGTGGGAAAATCACAGTAAATCATTAAAATTGGAAGAACAAACACTGGAAGCCATAAAAATGCAGATAAATAAAAAAGTAATGAATTCTAGTGGAACATGGATCGACTGGCAGCATTTATTTGCTGCTGCATCGCTTTTAACGCGCTGCCGTTATACTTTGCAGTATACTTATCCTTATGCTTATTACATGGAACCTGGACCACGTAAAGAATTGGTAAAAATCTATTTAACTTCTTAAAATAATTACAGATTAAATTAACTACAAGTTAATAATTTTCTAATAATTTTGAAATGGAAAAACTAAATGTATAATAAATATTTAAAGTTTGAATATCAACAAGCCCAACTCGAAGCAGAAATAGAAGACCTTTCTTGGAAAATAGAACACGCGGAAACGATAAATCGCGGAGATTTAGAAAATCAAATGGATATTGCTGAAAAGCGTCGGGTTACTTTACTGAAGGACTTCCTTGAGGTATAAATATTAAATGAACGTAAATATTCTGTTATATTGTCGCAGTCTCTTTTACAGTCAGGCCAAACTTATGAAACAGCTATAGCTTAGGTTTTGAAGTATTATATTCCAACAGCTATTATTTTCTATATGATACACATTAGTTAATCATTCGCCATTAAAAATAAAGTTCGGAAAAGTGCGTAGATTCGTTTCAATTGACAATGTTTTAGAAAGTAGAAAAAGAAAAACTGTGGGGTTGAAAATCTAGTTACAAATAACTTTAGATTTAAGTGTTCTTTATCGACTAAACGGTTTTTAAATTATCATTTTTACCAAACAATTTTTACACTTTTATTAAAAATAATGTCTGTAGAACAGAAAATGGAATCTGTTTCTTATTTATGTAATCTTACATAAAAAAAAGAATTCTATAGATACTTTAATCAAAGAGAGAGCAACAATAAGGAACACATAGGAAAGTATTAACATGTATTGACTGATTGTTAAAATTTGATGTAGAATGTATAATAATTTCCTAGTCTAAGAATATTTCCATAAATATTGTATAGCTGCAATATTTTCTTTGAACTTCATATTTAGAAGATTATTCTTATCGACGCTTATTGCACGATTCGGCTGGAAATGTAAGAACCATTGGTTTCATGGATGTGTAATAACCCATATTTTATCAAATAAGTTTATATATGAACTTAATTTATGTTGATTCCATGAATCCTTTAATTTCCCTTTGAAGCATTGCTACCAATAAGAAACATTTTAATAGCAACAATTGGATAAAAATAAAAAGAGATGAAAAAATCAGGTAGCCTAATAATTAATTAGGTGCAAACAAATGGTACCTTTTACTGTGTAAATATTGTGGTAATGTAAAAGAATGTGACATTTTCTATAATTAGATTTAAGGTGCATGCAACGATCAAAGACATCCACTAAACCTAGCAACAATTGAACTTTCTTTCAACTATTTATACACGATACATTAGAATAGATCATTTTCTGCGAATAAGTGATCTTTTAATAAAGAATCCTGTTTAAACTTAATGGCTATTGTGCAAAATAAATGTAACAATTGCTATGTCACTAAGAAAAATAAACTTTACTGCAACAATTGTATCTTACTGAAAGTATCTTTTATATAATTAAAATAGGTTGTGGAATACATGATTAGAATATTATGATAAAAAGATATTAATAGGATTACTTTCAATAATGTTAAAGAACTGATTAATTACTCTTATTATAAGAAATTTTTCTATGATATTTTTGTTTTTAAACAATATTGAACTCTGAGTTAAGAAATAATTCACTCCTGTCTTCTGACAGGCCACTTCAAAACCAGTGATATTAATATAGGTACATTAATAAAACAACAATGTAATATTATTGTATCTTAAATGCTCAATCTATTAAACAGTATGCTTTATTAGTTATTTCCATTTATCAAGTAAGTAGAGAAAAAAACTTATATTTTTTATTTAATATCCTACTGAATATTTTAAAAGAATATTAAACCATACTTAATATGATAAGATGATATCATATAAAAGTTATTTCTAGCAGATATAATAAACAAGATCATTTGCATAAAAGGGTAAAGAAATTATTTTAAAGATATTAAACCTTAGATATTTCTAAAGTAAGATTTTTAAAATACAAATTACCAATATGTATCATAAATTAACATTCAATAAATTTATATGTAAGTTTCCACTGCATACACAAAATTTCCTATCGTAACTTGAATTTTTCATATTAGTGTTTACTCCATATTAATTTCTTTGCGTTGAAAGTCAGAAATATTTTGTTGCTGTCACGAAAAGATAACTTTTAATTGACCAATATTTATGGCGCGAGATAGTTGCATATTTAACTTTTTAAAATTTCAAAATGGCGCGTTCGATTGATTGCTACGGTTAGACAAGCAGACTGTAGACTCCGTGAAATCGCGATGTATATATTGCGAAAATATCGAAGTATCGACGGATTAGCGAAAAGAGCGCTACTCTCTTCCGTTAACCAGTAGAGAAAAGTGTGTTACTGTTAGTGGTGACGAACGAAGTTCAGTCGGTAGGGAGAAAACATTGTAAGAATAGGGTGATCACACTCTTCCGTATGACAGACGGGGCTGTTATATTCTACCAAAGCTTACTTTTATCCCCGGAACTTTCAAAGACATTAATACAACAATGGCGATGGGTAAAGGGTTTCGCGTCTACGAAAAATTAAAGCCACCTAGTCCTCATTCTCTTATATTGGAACAACGAAATCGGAAGGAAACTGTTCTTTTCGAATCTCAAGCAGTCGCTGTTCTCTGTAAGTATATTTATCATAATTAATATTTTTCGTATATCCCTGATCTTTAATTTTTTAACTCTTTTTTGTTAAGATACAAGAACTGATATTTATTAAATACAGCTGTTCAATTTTTTTTCTTTTTTTCGATTTTATTTCGTATAGTTCTTTCTAAAATGATTTATTATTATGTATAGTTTTAAATATTATTTTACAGCTGCTGAAGAAACAGATACTTTGAAATGGAAATACACAAAATTATTAGATGCATATGGATGCTTAGGTGTTTTACAATTAAATGCTGGTGAAAATACTTTATTGTACCTTGTTCTTGTTACTGGCTGTTTTTCTGTTGGTAAAATAGGAGAATCAGAGATATTTAGAATTACACAGACTCACTTTGTACCACTTCATTACACACAAGGTAATGAGGATCGTGCATCTGAAGTTAAAAAAGTACTTAATTCTGGTACATTTTATTTTTCTTGGTCTGCTGGTAATCAAGAACCTCTTGATATTACTCTTAGTGCACAAAGACGATGTAAGTCTACAACAACTGACAACAGATTCTTTTGGTTAGTATTAAATATATCAAAAAATTTAAAGATATAATAAAAATACTAATTTTTTATATATTACAAATAGGAATCGAATGTTACACATACATTTATTAAGGTATGGTGTAGACACATCCCACTGGTTGCTTAAAGCAATGTGTGGTAGTGTGGAAATTCGAACTGTATATGTTGGTCATAGACAAGCTCGTGCTGTCCTTATGTCAAGATTAAGTTGTGAGCGTGCAGGCACAAGGTATTTTTACTTTATTTTTATCTAAATATGAATAGCCCATAAATATCCTACATATAAGTAATATTATTGACATTTATTACTTCCCTAGTAACTGGTTTATCATTATTTCCTGATGTCATTTTTATCACTTCTTATCATACAATTTTATAAAAGTTATACAATCGTACTTGATAATTCAACATTAATCATTCAAAACTTATAGATTTATATTCATTATCTAGGTTTAATGTCAGAGGAACTAATGATGATGGTCATGTAGCAAATTTTGTAGAAACAGAACAAGTAATATATTTAGATAATGAAATAACTTCCTATGTCCAAACCAGAGGATCAGTTCCTTTGTTCTGGGAGCAACCTGGCATTCAGGTTGGTTCTCATAAAGTGAAAATTTCTCGTGGTTTTAATGCTTCTGCACCAGCCTTTAATAGACATTTGAATATGATCAAACAAAGGTATGGGGAGCAAGTAATTGTTAATCTTCTTGGATCTAGTCTAATTGGAAACAAAGAAGGAGAAGCAATGTTAAGTCAGTTATTCCAAACTCATCATAGCATGTCAGAACATACTGATGTACCTCACATTTTATTTGATTACCATCAAGAATGCAGAGGTGGAAATATGAAAAACCTTTCTAAATTGAAAGCAAAAGTAGAAAGATATTTAGAATCATTTTCATTGTTTTACGCAGCCGGTAATACTGTCATTTTTGAGCAAACTGGAACTATTAGAACAAATTGTCTCGACTGTTTAGATAGAACAAATTGTGTGCAAACATTTTTTGCATTGGAGATACTTGGCAAACAACTTGGATTATTAAAATTACTCGAGAAGCAACAGATGGTTTCACGATTTGAGGAAGTATTTAGACAAATGTGGATCAACAATGGTAATGAAGTAAGTAAAATATATGCTGGTACTGGGGCAATACAAGGAAGTTCGAAGTTAATGGATGGCGCAAGATCAGCAGCTAGAACAATACAAAATAATTTATTAGACTCCAGTAAACAAGAAGCTATTGACATCTTGTTATTGGGATCAACTTTAAATACAGAATTAGCGGACAGAGCTCGATTACTTTTACCGTCAAATATGTTACACGCACCACCAAGCGTTCTTAGAGAAATGTGCAAAAGATATAATGAGTATGTAACTACAATGAATCTCAGAGTAAGTGTGGGTACTTACAACGTTAATGGAGGAAAGCATTTCCGAAGTGTCGCGTATAAAGATGTATCCCTTTTGGATTGGTTATTAGATGCTCCGCGAAAGCCATTGTGTAAGTTCAATCAAAATATATTTATTTTATTAGCGAAATAGGTTTATACAAACTAATTATACGTTTTCTTACAGCCTTAGTATCAGTTGAATATGACAATGTTCCTGTAGATATATTTGCAATAGGATTTGAAGAAATTGTTGACTTGAATGCTAGCAATATAATGGCTGCTAGTACTGATAATGCAAAAGCTTGGGCAAAGGAATTACAGAAAATACTTTCCAGAGATACTGAATATGTTCTGGTCACATATCAGCAATTAGTCGGTGTTTGCCTCTATTTATTCATTCGGCCTGAGCATGCACCTTATTTAAGAGATGTAGCTGTAGATTGTGTTAAAACTGGATTGGGAGGTGCAACAGGAAATAAAGGAGCTGCAGCTATTAGATGCGTATTATATTCTACGTCTTTTTGTTTTGTTTGCGCACATTTCGCTGCTGGACAAACTCAAGTTAATGAGCGTAATGCAGATTATGCGGAAATTACGCGGAAAATTGCCTTTCCTATGGGAAGAACATTGAATACTCATGATTATGTATTTTGGTGTGGTGATTTTAATTACAGAGTTGATATGGATAAAGATGAGATGAAAGACATGATCAGAAGGAATGAATTTGATCAAATATTACAGTATGATCAATTGAAGGTAAATACACAAGCTTTTAAAAATAAACACTATACATAAACTGTAAAAAAATGTATATCAGAGTTTATTTAATATATTTTAAATTTAGGTCCAACAGGACCATGGAAATGTTTTTAAAAACTTTTTGGAAGGTCCTATTACTTTTGCTCCAACATATAAGTATGATCTCTTTTCTGATGATTATGATACTAGTGAAAAATGTCGACAACCTGCATGGACAGATAGAGTATTGTGGAAACGCCGAAAACAAGTACCTGATATTGGTTAGTTCCATACAATTATGATCTTTACTATTTTCCATACTTGCACTAATCACATCTGTACTTATTTCTTTTAGATTCTCCTACAGATTGGAATCAAGGAAAATTGATCCATTATGGTAGAGCAGAATTAAAACAAAGTGATCATCGACCGGTTATTGCTATTATCGATGTAGATATTCATTGCGTCGAATATGAAAAACGTGAACAAGTATTCAAAGAAGTGATTCAAGATTTAGGTCCACCTGATGGCACTATAGTAGTAAATGCAGTTGAAGAGTTGGATGATATGGACAGTGTTTTTGATAAAAGTTTCATGACTGCACTAGTGCAAGATTTTTCTCTTATTGGCGAAGTAATCCTTGTCAGATTCGTCGGTGAAACAATGTGGGTAACATTTAGAGATGGACAATGTGCTTTGTCAGCAGCAAGGAAAGGTATGACTCAAGTTTGTGGTCAAACTTTAAAATTATCTTTGAAGTCACCAAACTGGGTGCAATTATTTGAGAAGGAAATAGAACTTTGCAGTAACACCACAGTTGCGCAATTTGTTTCAAATTCTCCAATAAGGAGTCCGATTCAAAGATTAGAACAGTTAGATATAGGAGAACGACCATGTCCTAGTAGAGGTAGTCCAAATGGAGTAATTCCTCCACCTAGACCAGCTCCACCCGGTCGACCAACTCAACCACCTAAAAGTCCAGTACAAGATCGAAAACAGGGACCACGTGCTGGTGTATTTAGTGTACTGCCAAAACATTTCCCAACGCCATTATCCAGAGAAAGAGTAGAATCTGAGCAAAGTGAAAGGTTATCTCCGGAATCTGCAATTTATGAAGAAATATTGGATGGATCGCCTAATTACCTTATACCAAACCGTCCACCACCGCCATTACCTCGTACGGATCCTTCGCAAGAATCATCTAGTAGGCCACCTAATTCTAAACCTCCCCCATTACCCCAAAGGCAAGCTCCTCCTCCTCCTCAACATCCACCACCTAGTTTACCCGCGTCGAACGTCCCACCACCAATTCCAGCAAGGACATCAGGTGGACCACCTATTCCAGCTAGAAATCCACATTAAGTAGTGGTTTATATAATTCTAGAGTTGTTTTGCTATGTGTTATTATGTAGCTAATTATTTATAAATATCGATAGAAATTAAACACAGAATAGATCGCTTTCACAATGTTCTACAGTTGTGTAGCATATTACAAACCTCAAGTCTATTCTATAATTAGTCAGACTCAGTTATCAAGCACTGTAAGGATTTATGCTTCCCGTTGTGCACTTTCCTACAATAATTTACATGTAAACAAATTTGTTAAATACCTCAGAGATTTAACTAAACACGCGCGCGTGCGCGCACACACACATACATACATACATATTATATATATCGTAAAACATACACAATGTTTACAAGTGTATGTAGTTAAAAGGCTTCTTAATGATCGTTGAAAGTAATGAAATAATAATTATGTTAATAAAATTTGTGCTGTTAAAAATGTTATATTAACATAACTTTCTGGAAAATTTATCGTGGCTAAGTATAAAAAAAAGTAGTGCTATCGTTGATATATTCTATATTTAAAATAAATAAGCCACAAAAGATATATTTTCATGATATATTAATTTTACAATTGATGTTAAAATCATTTATCAACTATATCTATTTCCTGTTACATCTTGCTATATTCTTTTAAAACGCAATAGATAATTGACATGAATTTTGTGAGCTAATGGGAACTTGATTTAAGTTTACTATTGTTTGTAATAGTAAAAAAGTAATAGACTCAAATAACAGTATTCTTACAAAATATTCTTCATAAGTATATATTATATGTATAAGTTATTATTATGATGATAATATAAAAATATTCGATAAATTCCTAAACATTGTCAGAAAAAACAAATTAAATATTACTATATTTATTTTGTAGCTTCATGTATTGTATTGTACATGTACATATAATATAGAAATCAATGCAAGATACAATTAAAATGAGATTCTATGTTTATACAACGAAGAAAACATTCTTAAATATTTTCCAGAATTCGGAATAATAAGTACTTGATGTGCGAATATTATTATTTCTAAAATGAACTTTTTTTAAACGTAAAAATTCGTAAAAGATGAAGTTACATAGTATACAAGATCTACAAATTTAAAAGTGTTAAAAGTACATAAACATTTTTGTAATTGAATCATGTATTTGGAAAAAAATGTAAATAGAATTGGCTTTAGTAAAACAAATATCTTATAATTAATACTCGTTTTCTAAAAACACTAAATACATTATGCATTTATTATGTTTTTAAATTCATCAGTCTATTAACGCTATTCTATATTTCAGAACATGAAGCACAGGATTTTAAAAAAATGTCTTAATTAAAAAAGTTTTTTTTATTTATTTCGGCAATATAATAAGACTGTTTTCTAAATCTGTAACTAATTCTAACATTGTCATTTGTTTGGCAGGTAGGGCAATAATGACAACCCTTTAAACATTACCTAACAATACGTATAAAAAGGTCTAACAAAAAATTTTATCAAATTTAATCTGTATAAATATATACTGTCAATACAATGATCTCCGTTTATCATTGCAATATGAACAATTTATAATAAGAAGAATGAATGGCTTCGAGCACTGTTACGGAAGTATATTTCCATTCAGTATAAACATATTTTTTTTAGTGAATAAATTATATACAAAATGATATTACTAAATTAATAGCTAACTAGTTTCTGGTTAATATACTAAACACTGTTGGCAGAGATCAAATGTTTGTCCGTCTGCAAACAGTATCTGTTCTTATCAAGAATATTATGATCCAAATTTTCAAGTTTAATAATATTTGCTAAAGGAATAAGTTAAAATTTAGCCAATTACAATGAAATGTCATAAATTCTAACGCGAAAAAAAGTATAGATAAGAAACACAGAATCTAACAAATTATTTCGTTATCAGAATATTATAAAAACTGATAGAATGACAAAATTAAGACATCGTACAATTGGTATACTCAAAACATTATGTAATGACATACCCAAAACATTTTTGTTCCTAACAATTTGTTTTCAGTCTCACGTGTATCCTTTGTGCACTTACACAGGTTTATACACCTTAGATATCAATTTACTCTTTTTTTAATATTTAATAGAGTATTGGAATGTTTAACTTAGTAAACCACAATTACTCAAATTGTTTTTGATTATAACATCAGTTACAGCATCAAACACAAACTGTATATTAGATGTGTCAGTGGCACATGTAAAATGTGTGTAAATTTGTTTCTGATCTTTCCTTTTATTCAGATTTTCAAATTTCATTTGAATATAAGAAGCACATTCTTCATAAGTATTGGCACCCTTATACTCTGGGAAACAAATAGTCAATGGGCTCCTGGTGATTTTATCCTCAAAAAGATCCTTTTTGTTCAGGAATAAAATGATCGATGTTTCAACAAACCACTTACTATTGCAGATAGAGTCAAATAGTTTCATTGACTCTATCATTCTATTCATTTCTTCATCCTCTGCAAGAACCAAATCATACCCACTTAATGCAACACAAAAAATTATTGCAGTAACTCCTTCAAAACAGTGTATCCATTTTTTTCTTTCTGATCTTTGACCACCCACATCAAACATTCTAGTAGAAAAGAAAAATTTTAACAATGATTCACAATATATAATCAATAAAAATATCTTGAAATAAACTTACTTAAAATGTAAGCCCTTGAAAGAGAAGTGTGTTTCTACAATTCCTGTTGTTTTTACACGTGTTCTGAGAACATCTTGCTGAGTAGGAATATAATTAGGTTGTGCTATGCGATCTAACGCATTAAGATAATATGCTGCCGAATCATTGAGCTGATATTCTCTACTACGTGTAAAACAGAGTTGTACTCCAGCATCCTGCCATAATCGTTTCATTAATGTTGCCAGATCCCCAGTTAGTTCACCCTCCTCTGCTGCAGAAGCTAGAGTAAAAAATTGGCGTGCTATATCCTATAACATAATTAGATTTCTTTATTACTGATATGAAATATATTTAATAAAAAAGATGTACAAACATCTTTATTTAAAGTTGTTATGTTTACCGCTTTATTAGGATCTGCAAAGTCAATTCTAAGCTGACCCATGGCTCTAATTATTGTCATAAGACTTTGAACTGTGTTACTGCAAACTACAGGTTTATATTGTTCACATTCTTCTTTACTATAGCCAGTTTCATGGATAATTTTCATTTGTTTTACTATAGTAGATTTTCCAGATTCTCCAGCTCCTTAAAACAAAAACATTAACATATTTAATAAATATATATTATTATGGATACAAAAGCATATAATTTTCATTTTTTCCCTTTAAGCAAACACATTAATATTCATAAATAAAAATCACGTAAAACTACACGTAAAAATCACGCTATAAGTAATCAACTAAATATCCAATGCGTTATCTAATGATTCACTTTAGACGATGATTCAAGTTTTCGGAAAATTGTTCGCTTTACTTTTCCACGATTGCATAAATCCGACAGTTGATTAGAATGTACTTATTATGTGACATTGTTCGAAATAAAAATCAAATACTCGAAATACTATCTTAAAGAATCGGTGGGAAAACAAGCGGAAAAAAAGTTTCCTTGATGCACGCCCAGTACAGCGATCTACTTTTACGACGAATAATCAAAAGCTTGAGGAAACATTGTCTTCAAGAAAGTGGATATTTTCGACACAGCATCATTAACAAAGAAAGGAGAGACAACGATGGAACGATTCTCGCGAAGGGAAAGTACAACAATGAAAAGAAAAGGAGAAGAAATTACCAAGCAGGAGGAGCTTGACCTCACTGGCGGCCCGTTCCCCATCCGCTCTAAGATCCTTGTCGATCTTCTTAGACCTTTCGGCGGCTTCTTTCTCGCCGGTGGTGCTCACCGCGCAGCCCATCCTTGCCGGTGGTTCTTTCTATCCACTGAAGAAAGAACAAGCACCATGCACGGCGCTCTTCGAAACAATCGGTTATTCGCCGCGCTGCCGTGTATGACACTTGTTGCACGGACGTGTGGGAACCGCCCGCACGCGGTTGTGCTCGCATACACACACTGATCGGATACACAGCCTCACACACTTGTTTGTACGTGCCCCGTAGGTGTAGGTATTATCATTCAATACGTGCATACGTGCGATCTATTTCTCGGGATTAATCGTTGCTTCCCGTCAAAAACGATGACAATGAACCAAAACTGCACAAGCCTACGATACCGGCACGATCGCCTTTCGTACAACCTGTATACTTTGTTCTTTGGTGTACAGGACACAGTCAGGATTCGTGGAGATCTCTCGATCGCGATTAACGGCCAATCCATGCGAAGATTGTGAGTCCTGTCTGACCAATGGAAACGCTACGGGAATTGTATTTGTTCGAATTCCAGGCGCCATCTAATGTACAAAATCCAGAATCGAAGATCGGCCCAAGAGTGGGAAAATCATCTTGTAACTTGCTTCATTCAATGATTGTGCTCTGTATGATTTGGGCCCGCGGGCCCCAATAGGATGTATGTAATAGGATAATTATATCTCATTTTGATAAATATCTATATGGATATGATATCTTAAATTGTCACATTACATCATAGATTAGAATCGAACGTAATATCATTTTGAAGATAAAAAGTGAAAGATAATTATATTTATATTTAGTATAAAAGTTATTATAATACACAGAATTGCTGTACACGGATTCTAATCTAATTTCATCCAATTACTAAGCTCGATATATAAATCTATTTATCAATTTCATTAATATCGGTTAGTTAATCGTACTCGTTTCAACATAGCACTGTATTTTATAATTTTCAAATTTGCATGAACTCTCAAATGCAGTTTCTTTCATAGTTGTGAAATTAATTTTTATATAAAAGTGTAATACAAGAACTAATGAATAGTGAATTGATCAACCGAGACTATTTCTATTTCCTATTTTTTTATTTGTTTATTAACTTTTTATTTAATTTTAATAAGTTTAAGGTTATGTATATAAAAGAAAAAAAAAAGAAATGGATGAAGTAAAGAAACGATGGGAGCAAACAATTTGGTGTACAAAAACAAGTTTTGAAAGTAGAACCTACCAAACTTACAAACATACAAACAAACTTACAAACGTACAAACGCTTAATTCGTATTATATTTCAAATAGGAACCATATAAAAAAGTATACGTACGTGTGTATCTAAACTCCCGCTCATGTTTAGTTAACACATAACAAACTGTATATAACTGTATAAGGAAAAGTAAATAAACAAATTGAAAATGTAAATAAATAAATTTAACACTTAAACAAATTCACAACATAAATAAAGAAACACAAAATGTAAGTAAACAAGTCAAATACTAGTATATATTGTTGTTTATTTTCCTAAGTCTTCCATTTGCAGAATAAAATTTTGGATTTTAATCGAAAATTTAGTGAATCTTTTTTTGCTTTCTATAATGATTGATATAAAAATAAAATAAGATACTTTTATTTCCTGTTGCATCCCGTTAAATTTCCTTTCATAGAAATCTCATTTATCCTTATGCTATTCAATAAATTATCGCACAATTATATTTCCGATGTCTAATAATTCAAAGTTAATAATAGCCGTTGCTTGCTTATATTTGATATAGGTATAGCTTTCTGTATGTACATTTAGTCAACGACCTGTAATTGTCTTTCGCGATCAATTAGTACGATAAATTTTCGCACGTGGATGTATCAGTGGCCCGTCGTTCTAGCGTAATGGAATTCTTAAGAATTTTGGTAAGCATAAATAAATCTGTTGAATTTGAATTTATAATTTAGAAATCAAGTTTAAAAATGATTACATTTTTATTATCTCAGCTTTTCTTCTGTTACTTCGGTTTTATCTTTATACAAGTTTCATTAACCGATCATTTAGAGGAAAAATTGAAAGAAACGGAAATTGAAATAGCTAAGCTCCACTTTGAAGAAGAACCAGTAGGTAAATAACAAATAGTTAGTAATTAATAAAAAGTAAATAAAAGTAAAAGTAACAAATAAAAGTAATTAACAAATAAAGCGTCCGCGCTGTATATTTTTAAAAGAACACTAAAATATGATACCCGTAGTTGAAAGAAAGCTGTATAACGTAAAGTGGAATCAATTGTGGCAAGTGGATTTGGACAAAGAACCACCTTTCATAACGAATATGTATGATAAGGTACTCTTTATAGAAGCAAATCGTTTCATAGTATTTCCTCTGGATGATTCTTCTTCTAATCGTTCTGTATCGCGAAAAATAATTCCAATCTTTAACAGCGAACCTGTGAAATTTGTCAGGGTACGTAAGTTGCAATTGTTTATAGTTACTTAAAGTTATATTCGATATTAGATCATTTCAACGAAATAATTCGCAAT